TTTTTATATAATACCCAAATAAATGTTAAATGATGACATTAATTTTCTATTAAATTATGAAATAACAAATTGACATACTTATAAAATAATAAATTGCATAAATCGTAAGGTGGCAAGCAATAAATTATGTGAAATATAATTGAATTTCAAATATTACAATGGGAAAACAACTTAAAATATAAGAATTGCGTATAAGTATCACATAACATTAAGTTCAACTCTAAATTTCTTTCTCAGTTCCCTATTCATTTATATTTAATTCTTAAAAATGATGAAATAGTTGGCAACAACTTAGAAATCATTTGCGCTGTCTCCCTAAGGGGGTCTTTATTTGAGTCGTCGTCATAACAAATTGGTCTCTCCCCTACTTTATCCTGTGGAGTCCAATGTCTCCCAATCTACTTCTTATTCATTTATTTCATTTATTTTCATCTTTCATAAATGTTTGTCATCATCATAAAGATGAAAATAATACTTCAAAATTTTTAGAGAAGAAGATGGTGGTGGTATGTGGCTTCTAAGTGATCCTCACAACGAATATGACAGTGGTGGCTGTGACGAAGGCTGCGGGTTGGAGGTCAAGGCAGCTGAGAGGGAGCTACTGCCACTCGTGGGTGCATGAAGCATGATTTGTTAGGTGCTTTAGTTTAGGATTTATGTTAGTTTTGATAAAAAATATATAAAAAAGGTGAGGCGTACGCCACTGAGGTGAGACATGCCTCATAAAAAAAAGCCCGAGGCATAAGCCTTGAGAGGTTTTTCATTGGAATTGTGTTGAGGCGGGCGTCATAGTGAGCCTCATATTGCGCAATTTTAAACAATGCGTGAGGCCTTTGCAAGAGATTTTTGGAGTGCAGTCTGGATTGGCTCTAGGAATTTCGGAAGCATTGCAGCTGATGGAATATGCATGTGTGACCATGCTAGGTTTTAGAGCAATGTCTAATATGCCCTTGATGTTTGATGCAGATGATGTTGACACTCGTTAGTATTATTGAATACTCTTGCCAAATCCAGATGGCATGTGGCTGATATCTACGTAGCTGGGTCCTCCTTACTCGATTGACACTTTAACTTGAGCGAACTCATGAATCCTTAAAGGCATATTGATGATTGACCAAACAACAAATGCGATGCGCTTCTATTGATCTGTCATAGTGGATTAAGAAGTGTTTAGTCAACCTAGATATCCCATTTTAGCATGCTCACTAAACTATTGTGAAATTGGCAAGGATTCGTGTCATAACACGGCGCAATAGATTTTCCCTTAGAGAGGGGGTATAATTCATAGGCTCTATTTAGCACTTTTTGTGCAGTGTTATGTGACTGATTAAAGTGAATAATTGTTTTTTTTTTAATTATGATCTACAGTGTTGTAAGAGACGTTATTTGATAAAAAGTTATGTGATGCTGATATGAGTGAATAAATGACTAAACAAATATTATTATAAATTATATTGTAGTATAATATGATAAATTAATAATAAATAATATACTATTAATTTAAAATAATAAAATTATTATTTTTATTAAAATAGAACAACTAAATTTCATGATAGTGCTTTTCTATGAAGCCATAATATAGAGCTTCTGTGATATGATATAAGGATTAAATGACTAAAATAAATATTATTATAAATTTATATCATTATAATAATGATGAATTAATCATAAATAATATATCAGTAAACTACAACAACAACATCAAGCCTTTATCCCAGTTCGTGGGATTGGCTACATGAATCATTTTTCTCCATTGTGTCCTGTTAATAGTCAAATTCTCATTTAAATCTAAAAAAGAAATGTCATTTCTAATATTTTCTAACCAAGTCTTTTTAGGTCTACCTCTACATTTCTTAACATAAGCCAAATCTAATACATATACTTTCCTAACCGGGTCATCGAAAGGCCATCATTTTATGTGACCAAACCATCTAAGGCGACTCTCCCTAATCTTATCTTCCACTGGAGCTACTCCAACCTTTTCATGTATATACTCATTTTGTATCATGTCTCTAAGAGTAAAGCCACTCATCCACCTAAGCATCCTCATCTCTACAACACTTCACTTAATATTATGGTTCTCTTTTAATGACCAACATTCTCCACCATAAAGCATTGCAGGTCTTACCATCATCTTATAGAATTTTCTCTTGATTTTGAGGGGGGATTTTCTATCATACAACAAGCCTGATGCATTTCTCACTTCAACCATCCAAATTAAATTCTGCCTATAATATCCCCTTCTATTTCACTATCACTCTGAACAATAGACCCATGATATCTAAAACGTGTACTCTTGTTAATGACTTGATCTTCCAAAGTCACAAACCCTCCACTAGATTTATTATTGCTAAAATTACATTTCATATATTTAGTTTTAGATCTACTCAAATGAAAACCTTTTGACTCTAAGGTTGACCTCCCTAATTCAAGTTTACCTTCAACTCCCTTTCTAGTTGTATCAACTAGAAGAATATCATCAACAAAAAGCATACATCAGGGTACAACCTCTAGCAAATGTCTAGTGAGAACATCCATGACTAAAGCAAAAAGATATGGGCTTAAGGCTGATTATTTATATAATATAACATAATAAGAAGAAACTTGGTCAAACCACCTTGTGTTTGAACACAAGTAACAACACCTACATATATATCCCTAATGACTTGAATATAAGCATTATTAATTCATTTCTTTTCTAGAACTTTCCACTGCACTTCTCTTGGAACTTTATCATATGCTTTCTCTAAATCAATAAATATCATATAAAGATCCTCCTTATTCTCTCTATGCTTCTCTAGCAAACCTCTCAAAAAATGAATAGCTTCCATAGTAGGCCTACCCAACATGAATCCAAATTGATTTTGATCAACATTAGTATCACGTCATAACCTATGCTCCATAACTCCCTCCCAAAGTTTTAAAGTATGACATATTAGCTTAATTCTTTTATAATTACAATCTTATGCATCATGTTTATTCTTAAAAATAAGAATCAATACACTCATTCTCCCCTCACCTGACATCTTTTTAGTTTTCAAAATAATATTAAAAAATTTAGTAAGCCAAGAAAACTCCATCTCCTAAAGCATTTCCGCATCTCTATTGGAATATCATCAGGTCCAATAACTTTTTCACACTTCTCTCTAACTTCGGTTTTACTAATACGTTGATAAAAACAAAAATCTTTATTTTCATTTAGGATGTTAAGGTCACTAAAGTCAATCATATTCTCACAATCTTCATTGAAAAGTTTAGCATACTATCTCATCCACCTTTGTTGAATATTTTTAAATAAAAGTACTTTTTTAATTTTCATCCTTAATGCACTCCATTTGCACTAAATCCTTACTACTCTTATCTCTTTGTTTGGCTAACTTTTATCTTTCGCCCTCCTTAATATCTAATTTATTATATAAATTATTAAAGCTAAAATCTTTGCATCGCATATTGATTTCTTACTATTTACGAGCATCTTCATATCTTTCCCATTTATCAAAGTTTTTACAACTAAATTATTTTTTATAATAAATATTTTTATTTTTAATATTTTCTTGCACATTTTGATTCCAATTTTTTTTTATTATTAGGAGCTTTTCCCTTTAATACTTTAAGCACATCGTTTGTTTTATTCTTAATATAACTAGTTTTTTTCACATAGCATTAGCTTTCTCATGCACAAACAAAATTTTAAAATCTAGAATCTTACTTTCAAAATTATTTTTGTTAATATTTTTCAAAAGCCCCTTTCTAATCTTAGAATAATACAACAACAACAACATCAAGCCTTTGTCCCACTATGTGGGGTCGGCTACATGAATCTTTTTTCGCCATTGTGTCTGGTTAAAAGTCAAATTCTCATTTAAATCTAATAAGGATAATCTTAGAATAATGTTTTACTTTATTTTTCTTATAAGAAAATAATAAATTTGAGTTTTATTATATCTATTTATAAGTGATTAAATGTTCATCTATTTTCTTAAATAAAGTATTAGCAATCGCGGACTCATAAGCTATTGAAAAATTTAATATGATCTTACTACCTTTATTAGTCACTCCAAACTCATAGCCACCATAAATGCTTTTAAATCATCTATCTCTCTACCAATCATAGCATCAAAACAATATATCAGTAATCTAAAATAATAAAATTATTTATTTATTTAAATAGAACAACTAAATTTCATTAAATTACTCTTATGAATCGGTTGGGATAGAATTTTAGAGATTTGCTGACACGTATCACATTTTTATCTGGCTATATATATATCTATATTTGCTTTTCTGAATTTTTTGTGGTGAGATGTATAACTGTTAGCTTTAAGTAAGGTGTTGCCTACTTATTTAGAAGGAAAAAAATTTATACTATTGGTAAACTTTCAAAAAATCACTTTTTTGACAACAATTATACAACTAATTTTAGAGACACTTGTAGTCTCCCCCCAAATGGATCCTAACTGACCGGTAAAAGAAAGCTGATTTTCAGCTTGGTGCGACAGAACTTTATATCGCAACACTAGTTAATTTGTTTAAACAAATTAGCATTTACATATGAACAATCTGATGTCCATGGACCTGGAAAATGAAAGGATCTTAGGAAAGTGAAAGGAAAAACGGAAACACACGAGTCCTTCCTGATTGTGTTTTTTGCAGAAGAGCAGGTGTAATTAATTGATTGAACTTACTTTATAGTTCGTCGTCAATGTAACGATAACCTTGAATTTGCATTAAGTTAAAATTTTCTAGACAATCATTGATAGCTTCATTGAAGCAGGTTACGAACAGGAAATTCAAACTATTATATGTTAGCTGTGTTTTTACCCCTAATACATTCTATATGGTAGTTGTTCAGCCATTTGGAAATTTCTCTGTCCTCGTTATAAGATATTCTTATCATCCTTGTTTACGGAATACTGAATGCAGTATCTACTCTTGCAAGTCATACTTTGTTCAATTAAAATATGTCTCGTTTACTCGCTTCATGTAATCTGCTTACCCAGGTAAAGTATTCTCTTGAAGCTGCAAGTCTAGCTGAAAATAATGCATCTCTTGGGATATATGATGCTTCGGCAGGTAATTGCGGGAACAGATCTTTATTGCATTATACAGTAAATTTAAGATGACAATTTTACTGATTCGTTCAATCCTAATTTTGATTTAGCATCTTCTCATTTTACTGATTCGTTCAATCCTAATTTTGATTTAGCATCTTCTCTCCAAGCAAGATCTTTAGCTGAAGATGCATTCTTCCATCCGTCAATTATGTCAATTAGTTATTCATCTCTGGAGCATTATTTTGCTATATACATGGTAAGCACTCTACTCTTTTTACCTCAAAATCCATCCTTTTCTCAATTGCATATGTAAACTTTCTCTTGTTGCTCAGTGACCTTATGATTGCATCATTTATATTGACTTTCCAGTTCAATATATTTAACCAGATTTGAATTTTTAGTAAGGAATGCACCCAATAAGTTACCCTAAAGAGATATACAAGTGCCAGAGCTGCCTTATGTTTTATCAGAAAAGTACTTTGTTTAACAATCAAGTTTTCTTACATACGTAGCTTTGCCACTATCCTTAAGAACAGAAGAACAAGTCCTACAATTCTCAGAAAAGATGGCTGAAAGGTATTTCACAAAATTTGAACACTGAATAGCAGATAGAGAATTATAATAACTCTCCCAACTGAAACAACATATAAGCTTCCATGAACGAAGATCAAGTTTATGTGTCTATTATAACTAAACCCAGTAAACTTGAAAACTTTTTTTTTTTTAAGTTCAGTATTGAGCTGCAATCATAATTTCATGAAGTGTAACTTACACCTTTTTTATGCGTTTTGTAGCCATTTTTCGCACCTGTATCATTGCATTTGATCCTGGCAGTTGTAAGAGAAATAGGACGGTATAGGAGAGAGCGGGCGAAGTATCTGTCATTCATGGCAGAGCAGGCCAAGACTTCCTAGTTAATTAAGGCACTTGCAGACCCGTTTCTTGGATCAAGATGCTGCAGCAGAAAGAAGTTTACAGGCACTCTCTTTCCACACATTATATCTTTGACAGTTAGGAAGAACCAATGTTTTATGGTAATTTTTACCCAACTATATTTTCGATGTCTAAGTTAACATATGATTATAACTTTGTGTAGTAGATAATCACTGGTGGATTTTTTTTTTCTTAATTTATTTTGTTTTGATTGTTTTTTTTTTTTTTTTTTAAATTTTTTGTTAATTTATGTGAACTATTCTTTTTTTTATTTTATGATGTTATTTTTTATAGGCCTCAGGAAAATGTTAAATAAGCAAACTGATATTGTTGCGATGTCATTGCTGAAGAATTAGTTTATGTTGATATTTAGATTTCGTTTGAGATAAATTCTTACTTTTTTTTAATTTAAAAAATTTTTGTATTAGAAAGTTGTTTTAGACAAATATAAGATAGCTATATTCCAAACGAAGTCTTAATCAATTTATTTTCAATGTGTTACTATTATTGATATATATATTTTCCGAGTTTTTGAAATTTTAGTAATTTAATTTTAGTATTTTACTAATTGTTTTGCAAAGGATCGCAAATTCTAACATTTTTTCAAAGTTTTGTGATAAATTATTATGTTTTCTTATAAATATTAAAATGATTATTTTTTATAGAAAAAGGAATTATAAAACTATTTTTTTTTTTAATTTTTATTTCCTCTAGAAGTTAGAGTAGTCGTTTGATTAGAGAAAATTTAGTGTATTAATCGTTAGATAAGTTAGAACATAATGTATGAGTAACCGTTTAATTAATGATAATTAAAGAGAATAAGGTGTCAATTAATTATAATTATTATAAACAATATCTTTTATTTATAATAGTTATAATTTAACTTTGGCTAGTGGTTGCTACGAAAAAAGGTGTTTAGTTATTGCCTCAGGTTACCTGAAGTCCTGAAGTAGGAACAATTATTACGTCCTCCGATTGGATGCAGAGAAGCATCCGGTCGTAGGCAAAAAAAACTCGGTACCGAGGTGTCTCCCTCCGAGCCAGCCTCGAAGACTCCGGCTCCATCTTGAACACCTCCTCCGACACCGAGGTTATCCTCCACCTTATCGCCAACTCCAACTCCCGTCCTTTAATCTCCCGCATCGTTGATGCCTGCGAGGCCCTCCAAGGTGCCTATTCCCTCGTCTTCCTTGCCAAAAACAAGCTATTTGCTGCCCGCGACGAAATGCCGCAAATATCGATCAAATACTGAGCAAATACCGAGTAGTACCTAGCAATACCGAGCAAATACCGAGCATATTCGTTCCGGGTTGGGTCGTCGGGCCGCACGGTAAAGAATAAGAGCACGTGACGATATATTATAGGCTACCTGATGTATCTCAACGTCAGGTAACCTGAGGCAATAAAAATTCCTCACAAGGATGCTGTCCAATAATATCACAAGTGGAGTAAAAATCAAATGTAAGCCCATCTGGGTTGGGAGAAGAATTTTTGAAACCCGAGATAACAATTACTTAAATTTCTACATTGGTTTTTACCCAAAAAAAAAAATTTCTACATTGGTGCTGAGTATCTCGCAGGAAGTCCATTGGCGGTGGTAAGGACACTCACATCTAGTAGGTCTCATAATTGAGCTCACCTGAGAGTTATCATATTTTACTTGTCAGAAAGCACAGAAGGAAGTCTTTGCTCAAGAGGGCAATCAAAGACCCTCACTGATATGCCACCATAGCTTTTTTTTTTTTATCGTCCATGAATCTCGAGGTATATTTAAGTTAGAAATTTTCAAAATTCAATTCAAGGTCATATAAACTCAAATTTTAATCAAACTTATAGTCAAAATGAACATCTCAAAGAGATGAACTCAACGACACCAAAATCAATCCAATTTGAACACCAATGGGTCCAAATCATGGACCCGAAGATTTTTTTGTTTGGAAATTTCAAAGTCTGAATTGGATGACCAAATGATATCTAAATATGACATGTTTATAGTCGAATCGAGCGGCTCGGCGATACGAATCCAAAGAGCCCAAGATAGTTGAACTTTGACATCATTAAGACACTTAAACATTTGAAACATGCTTTATGATCGGGGGAGTCAATACTGACCATCTGATGGATCACTTCGAACATGCCTTAGATCTTATCTATACTTATGGGGCGTGTCACTCATAAAAATCTATAAATAAACCTCCACTCTCTGCATGAGGGATACCTTTGGATGGAGAGTGGAGATTGGAGAAAATTTGGATGAAAATTGAAGAGAGCTCTAAGGCTTCAAGATATCCAGCAGCATCACCGGCAAACCTCCGTCGGCCGTCGCGGGACCACCAACCAACCTTCGGACTTTCACTTGACCACCGACTATTGCAGGACTTCCACTTGGCCACCGACCATCGTCTGACCACTGCCCCGGCCGTTGACCACCACGGTCGAACTTTTGCTCGACTATTATTGGACTATCGTCGGTCCGCCCACCTTCACCATCTATCAACTGCAATCCCTCCGGCCTTGATCGCCCGCCGACTACAATCCTTTTGTCCTCCATTTCTTGTTGACTATGGTCCCTTAGATCTCTGTCGCTTGCTGCTATGATCCCTCCGACCACTGTCGCTCGCTGACTACGACCCCTCTGTTCTAGGTTGCCCATCAAGTACTGTCCTTCCGACCTCCGTCTCCCACCGACTACAGTCCCTCTGATCCCACAGACTACCATCAAATCCAAAAACTCTCTTCCCTTCTCAGACATTCACCCTCTCATAAACCCTTCTTCTTATACCAACCATGCTTGCCACCATCCCAACCTTCTCATTAAACTATGATCTTATCTCTTATGTAGTTTCTCCTGTGGTGCCTCATAATCTAATTTAAAAGAATTTTTTTTAAGTTACACAACCAGAGCTATCAAATATTTTTTATCGATATAAATATAAATGAAAATAAAACTATCGATCAAAATATCAATCTTCACATCTTCATTCATTTCCCAAAATTATGAAAAAAAAAAGTGTAATTAAAATACTATAATATCAATTCTATGAGGAAGATGGTTTGTGATTTGGATTTATATTGACTCCATAAAAAAAAATTTATTTGACTGGGTTAAAATACAAGCTATTATAGCTCCTCCCACATCCAATTGTTCAAAGCAAATTTCTAAAGCAATTAATCATATAATTATCAACTTTATCTCTATCTACTTTGCTATGGATATGTCATCCTCCTAACCTCTCTCAGACATGGGAAATATTGGTCAGAAGTCTCCTATAAACTTTAGTAATACCAATATCTCTTTTGATCCTCCTAATCAAGGCCACAACTCCTCATTCTTGCACAACCCAGGCCTATAAACCCTTATTTACTCTATCTCTTTTGCTCCCAAAGTGAGAAATATAAGATAAAAGAGGGAGAGGGGGCCCTAAAAGTAAACTAATCTCTTGTGTTTTTTCCTAACATTAGTGCTTGGAATGTTAGAGGATTAAATGATGACGCCCTATGAATGATTACCAAAGTTTTATTAGAGATTACAATTCATATGTGCTTTATCTTACTAAAACCAAATTTAATGAGGATTCTATTGAGGGTGCTTCTGGTTAAAGGAAAAATAATATCTTCAATCAGAAGAATAGTTTCAATGTCTTTCATATGGCTTAAAATGGTCACATTTAGGCCAATTGGGATTCCAACATTATCAACTTCATCACTTTAAAAGATTATCCACAATACATTCATGGTCAACTCATTTTTATGTTAATTTATGCAAGTAATAATACCACTGAGAGAAAAATTATCTGGGAGGCTCTTCTCAACATCTCCATGAATATATCATAAGGGGTGATTTCAAAGATGTTAGAAAGGTTGAGAAAAAAATGGAGGAAATCTAACCCCTAAAATTAAGCTCTGGGATTTCAATAATTGTATATGCAATGTTGGTTTGACTGAGCTTCTTCATAGTGGTTTATCTTATATTTGGTACAATATATAGATTTTCAATCCTATTAGATGCTTGTCGAATTGTGCTCTTTGTAAAAGTGCCAGGATGACCACATATTCTCTATCACATTACAAAATCCCGAGTCCCCTCTACTCATATTACTCTTCTATTCTTCAATTAGGCTCCCTTGTGAATAGTTACACTAAATTTATGTACATCATATCAATGGACATCCTATATATATATATATATATGATCAAATAAAGAGCAAAGTGTGTTTGGATATTAAACAGGGAGTATGATCTTAAGTTTCTTTATAAAAAAAAAAAAAGGAGAGCCAATGTAAACACCATCAAATAAATCAATAGAAGCAGTGGCCCTATAAACTCCCAAAAAGGCATTTTTGATGAAGCCATTAACTACTTTTATACCTTTTTCAATAAATTTATTATCTCATATCATGATGAAAATATCCCCTTGGGCCCTAAGTTCACTTTAGAGGAAAGAAATTATCTAGTTTAGAGGAAATAAATTATCTAGTTCTCCATTGAGCAGATCAAACATGCTCTATTTAAAATTGATAATGATAAATCTCTTACACCAGATGGTTTCTCTCCCAGATTCTTTAAATATTCTTTGAATATTATTGGGAATTATTTTATTCAGCATATCCATCACTTCTTCTAAAATGACTCATGGTAAAGTGAAATATAATGCTACCACATTGATTCCCAAAACTTTAAGCTCTTTTACCATGGCTAGATTTTGATCAATTTCTTTATGTAATGTGACATATAAGTTCATTTTAAAAAAATTGGCCAATAAACTAAAGAGACTCATGCCTAATTCAATTTACCACTCCCCATCTTCCTTTACTAATGGGAGAGATATTGCAGACAATGTCATTCTAGCTAATGAAATTTTGATGTTTCAAGCAAGACTCCATCCCTAAGGCTGCTTGTGTGAAGATTGATCTACAAAAAACTTACAATGTAGATAAAAAGTTTCTATGTAACAAACTGATTAATTTGTACTTCCCTCCAACTTTTGTCAATTGGATTAAGGTCTGCACTGCAAAGTTATCATGCTTTGATATCATCAATTTGGAGATGTAATTATGTTGACTACAATTAGGGCCTAAGACAGGGAAGTCCTCAATCTCTTTACTTTTTTACATTCATCATGGATTCTTTTTTCTAGATTAATGGAGTCATCTTGCTCAAATGGGACATTCTCTCCCATTTCTAAAGCAAAAGTTGAAATTTCGCATTTAATATATTTAATTTATTTTTTGGTCTTTCGGCTTGCTAACATCAATACTTCATCACAATAACATAATATTCTATGTACTTTCAACATGAACACTAGACTATCGGTGAATCCTACCAAATCCAACATCTATTTTTCTAAATCTATTAGCTGTTAAATGTTGGTTCATTTCCATAGTGCTTATGGTTTTAATGTCAAACCTCTTTCATGGAGCTACATGGGGATCCTTAGTAGCTTTCAAAACTAATCTCTCACCTTATACTCTTATATTGGAAAAGCTTATGGATGGTTTGGTGGTTAGAAGCAAAAAATTCTCTCTTTTGCTGGCATTTTTTTATTGGTCTAATCCACCCTTTTGAATTATCTTTACTATTGCATGAGATATGTTTGTCTTTATAAGAAGCTTATAAAGAAGATTACAAGCTTGATTAATAATTTTCTCTATGCAAATGAAACTGACAATAAATTTCATATCATCCCTTTCAATTTTATTACTATCACAAGGGATTACGGGGTTTGGAACCACCATCTATTGACACCCATTAAATTCTAGTTAAAGTATAATCATTTGGAAACTCTGCAACTCTCAATCCAATCTTTCTAGCTAGCTAGTGCACTAAAGTTTATGGTAACACCTTTCCAATCATTCTTCCCCCTTTGGAAATATCTTCAAACCTTTGCTTTAAAATTAAAATATTTGATGGAATTATTTAAGGTGAATTTTGATTGTAAGATCTCCATCTTTTGGGGCCATACTAATTGTTGCGGGCTTGAATATACGTGGCGATAGAGTTTTAATTATACGTCTTAGCTTTGCACGGATATCCAGCACACACACAGAGAACACAAGATTTTTACGTGGAAAACCCTTGAAAGGGGAAAAACCACGAGGCCTAGCCCAGTTGAAAAATGATTCCACTAGAATTTGTGTCGGTTACAAAAGACTAACTCGCCTATGAGGGCGATCAGATTACAAGTAACAACTGCTTGAAAGAAGTCTTGGCGTTGGGCATTGGTCTGGCAAATCTTCTGACCTTTGATACTGATTTAGTGAAGTCAAAGGCATCTGGCGAAGATGAGGGCCTCTGGCGAAGGTGAGGGTCTCAAGTGAGGGCCTCAAGTGAAGGTGAGGGCCTCAAGTGAGGGTCTCAAGTGGTGGTGCGGCAAGATTCCGGCGGTGGTCCGGCGAGATTCCGGCGGTGGTCCGGCGAGCTCCTGCAGTGGTCCGGCGAGATTCCTACGGTGGTCCGACGAGCTCCTGCGGTGGTCCGGCGAGGTTCCGACGGTGGTCGAGGAGGAGCTTTCTCCTTCTCTCCCTTCTCTTCTCTTCTTCTCTTCTTCTTCTCTTTCTTCTTCTCTTTCTTCCTTGGATCCCCTCTCATGAGAAATGAGGGCTTTATTTATATATTTTCTGGAGTGGCATGGCTCGTAAATAGACGTGAGATCAAGGACGAATAGGGAGTGATCGAATAAGTAATGGAGAATAAATTAACTACTTTTATGGCCTTTTCAATAAATATATTATCTCATATCATGATGTAAGAGTAGCAGTTTAATTAATGATAATTAAAGAGAATAAATTAACTACTTTTATGGCCTTTTCAATAAATATATTATCTCATATCATGATGAAAATATCCCCCCATTGGGCCCTAAGATCACTTTGGAGGAAATAATATCTTGTTACAGAGTTCTCCATTGAGGAGATTGAACATACTCTATTTGAAATTAGTAATGATAAAGCTCTTACGTCAGATGGTTTCTCTCCCAAATTATTTAAATGTCTTTAAATATTATTGAGAATTATTTTATTCTGCATATCCATCACTTCTTTCAAAATGACTAATGGTAAAGTGAAACATAATGCTACCACATTGATTCCCAAAACTTTAAGCTCCTCTATCATGGCTACATTTTGATCAATTTCCTTATGTAATGTGACATATAAGTTCATTTCCAAACTTTTGGCCAATAAACTGAAGAGACTTATGCCTAATTCAATTTACCACACCCTATATCTTCCTTCACTAATGGGAGATAATTTGTAGAATGATTTGACATTATGTTGGCACTATGAATGGAAGATATAATTCACTATGAAAAGGAAGTTGTTGAGATTTTTATGGAAGGTGCCGAGAAAGCCGAATTGTTGAAGATGATAACTAAGAACATATTCCAAGACGAGGAGAGGAGGAGAATTTGATATTTAATTTTTAAAATATATTTTAATAAATTTACGTCAAAATTCAATTTGGATGGTTGAAGTAGAGGAATGCAATGGGGTTGTTGTGTAATAGTAAAGTGCCTCTCAAACTTAAGGCGAAATTTAAAAGATGATGGTGAGATCTGCAATGCTTTATGAAGCAGAATTTTGGCAATTAAAAGAAGTGGATGAGTGGCTTTACACTTAGAGATATAATGTGAAATGATTATATATGCTAAGAGGTTCGAGTAGCTCCAAAGATAAATAAGATAAAGACTTCGTTTGAGACGACTTTCTTACTGCTTCTCAAAACATCTTTTTAGTGGAAGATTTTTCTTTTTTTTTTTATTAGAAACTGCTTTAAAAAGCAACAAAAAAAGCTGTCCCAAACTAAACCTAAATTTGGTCAGCTTTCAGTTTTAAGACATTTTATTTTTAATATTTGAATTTTTTTAGCAATGGTGACTAAAATCAAGATTAATGATGCCTATTCTGATTAAAATCTAGAAATCAAATTATGCCTAGTATTAAATTTATATATTTAATTATTAGCATCAAATGTATAATTAGTTGGGCATAATTAAAGCTGCATCACAGCTCGAACATGATAAGAAAATTTATCAATAAGCATACGAACGTATTTAAAACTCAGATCATATTATATTGCATGTGAGAAATTAATTTTAAAAGAGAATTTTTTTTTTTCCCTAGAAGAAAGCTTATAAGCTGCTAACTTCTTCCCAAGAAGAAAAAATGAGTAAAATAATTTTTTTAAGCATAAAAATCTATCCTATATATATATATATTTTATAATGGACATAGGTCAAATATAAGAATTAAAAAAATGTTTACAAATCATTGATGAAAAATAGACCACAAATTCAGGCATAGATGGACAAATTTAATAAATAAAAAAAAAGATTTATATTTTTATCCTTAAAAAATAAAAAATTGTATCTAGCTGGCAACGACTGGCTCTTTTAATATAGTCGGTCAGCTGACGTGGCGTGGTGAGCCATATGGAGAGGCGACGATTGGCGCGAGTTGTTCGGAGAGGGAACGACTGGCTTCGCACGAGTAGTTTGCCTTAAATTATTTTTAAAAAATGTTAAATATTTTTGTCTACATAAAATTAAATAAAATATATATTATATTAACTAATTTACTTAATAAAAATAATGGAACATAATATAATAATAAGTTTATTCTACCAAAAGTAATAAAAAATATTAAACAAAAGGAATAATTTGTTTATCACAGAAAAATATAAATTATAAAAAAAACATATATTCATAATTAACTTAATTTCTCATAGCTCTACTTAATTTCATGTAGCTCTTCTGAAAATTGAAAAAATTATCAAAGAAAACAATTGAAAAAAAAAAAAACTCTTACTATATAGTTAAAAATAAAGCAAAAATCTCCCACAAGATATAGATATTAAAATACATATACGCGCACATAATCAACAAGAAAAGACAGCCCTAAACAACAATCGAGAAATTATTGTGTATGGAATCCGAATGCATTCGGAGACTAATTCGGATGCGCCATGTCACCGGATGCACTGGGCCCGGTGACATGGCATGCCCGAATTCACCTCCAAACATATTCGAATTCCGCACACAATAATTTCTCCTAAACAACAGCTTACTATATAACCTCCTAGCAACTAAACTTTCCATATCACGATGCTCTCATGCACATCCAATGACTGCAGAGAAGCTCAGATCACATTAACAACCAACGAAAAGCTTAAAATCCTCACCAACTACAAAAGCCTAACTCATCATCCTGCGAAACTCATAATAGTCAAGCACACCATTGCCATCAAGGTCATAAACCCTAATCATGGCAGCACACTCCTCCTCCGTTCTCTTCTCCCCAAGCCTTGCCAAAACCCTCTTTAACCCATTCGGTGTGATGCACCCCGCCCCTTCCTCCCCTCCGAACATCTCGAAAGCTCGTTGGAGGTCTTCCTCATGGTCCCTTTCGCCTATGTTTTGTCGGTCGCCACCTCCCACGAGGCGGACAAATTCTTCGTAGTTGATGAGGCCATCGTCGTCTGTGTCGAGGTCTTGGATGAGGGATGCCGCCTCGTCCGCCGAGAGACGGTCGCCGGCCCAAGCCAAGAAGGACTGTAGCTCCTCGCTGGATATGCGCCCGTCGCCGTCGGAGTCGAAGCGGCGAAACATTGTCCTGAAGCAGTCATGGGTTTGTACCATGGCTGGCGCCGGAGGCTTCTTATTTGGGCGACGAAGGCGGTGGAGGCTTAGTTTCATGAGTGCTTTGCTGGGAAACCATTTGGAGTTCTTGACAGGGCTTGGGTTTGCCATAGTGTGGAAGAGAGTGAGGGAGATAGAAATGAAAGAGGCTAGAAGCTATAACTTTTGGTAAGTAGATGAAATGAGTGTGGTGGTATATATAGTTGTTGAAAGTTGAGAGAGGAAAGAGGGGGAGGGGGAGGAGAAGTTGCAAGGATGTTACGTTGAATGAAAGTGTATTGGAGTTTCTCAACGTGCATGGGAGTACGAGCACTGCGCAATAACTTGTGCAGGAAATAAGGCTGCTTTAAATATCAAAGGTTTTAAAACTCTATTTCATTCTCATCCGGATATGTGTGAGACTTTTTTTTTTAACGGGTTAAAGATTAATTATTCTGTGTTCACACCAAACATCATCTAGAGACTAATTAAAATGCGTCACATCACTTTTTTATTATGTTGAGGTTCGGTACTGCTCGGTGCTACTGTGATGTGGCTGCTCCTGATTCGCCTCTGGATGTAGAGCTGCGTCTGGCCTTCACACAGAAAAATTTCTTCCTTAAATGAGGCACATAGCAACATAAATAATCTATCGGTGGGTCTACCAGCAACCAACCCCATAGGCGAAGGACCACACAGTTATTTTATCCCATTTATGCATTTTGATATTTAAGGTTTTTTATTTGTAAAAGTAGTTCTTTAGTTAAAAATTTTTTCTTAGTTCAAATTTTTTGTATATATTGTAATTGTTTTAAAAACCGATAAAAAAAATTATGCCAAACTAAGTCTTAATTAATTTGAGATTCATGCTTAGCTCTTATTTCCATTATTTTTTATTACTAAGTATTTTTTAATAATCAAAACAAAAATATTATCAATTTTTGGAAATATTGCAACTAAAATTGATCTGAAACTACCCTAAAATTGATTTGAAACACCAAAAAAAAAAAAAGGTTAATGTATTATAATATAGTTTTGAAAACTTTGCAAGACATTTTTTTCTTAAATTTTTAAAAATAATTATATTATAGATATTCTAAACACTATGAGATATCATTAAGAACTTCAATTAATACAATTTGTTCAAAATTCTATTATATTCAGAATAAATTGGTGCATTGGACATTGATAGATTGGCGCTTACAATTTGGCTATTTGAGGGTGAATGAAACATGAATATATTGTTCTTTGTGATGACAAAAGAGAAGATGCACATAGAAAGAGCGAAAGGGGGGGACTAAGAAATTAACTAAGGAGGAAGGATGGGATGTTGCTTCCAACAACAAAGAAGTTTTTGTTCATAGAAGGAAACAAAAAGTTGTGCAAAAGATTATGAACTGTGGGACTTTTTTGGAGGCTTTGAGGAAGGATAGAGTGTTCCTTCCATGCACCAAGGAAGCTTTGTCACTGGCAATAGGAGCCAGAGCCAGCAGAGAGGAATTGTTCCAGCAAACATAATCATTAGAAACTCTACTTCTTTAAATATTATATGATGAAGATTGCTTTTCTTGTTTGTGAATGCTTGAAGTATATTTTATGTAATGGTTCTTACTTTTTCTTCATAAGCAAGTCCTAATAATCAATTGAAGCGGCCATTTCCTGCTGATTTAGGCTTCGTTTGAGACGACTTTCTTAATACGTATTATAGCAGCTTTTTAATTAAAAAATTTTAAATTTTAAACTAGAAAACTGAGTTAAGTAGTAGTAAAAGAGCCAGCTTTCTTACTACTTCTCAAAATAACTTTTTAGTACAAAAAGTTTTAATTTTTTACTAAAAAACTATTTCATGAAGCAATAAGAAAACCGTCTATCCCAAACAAAGCCTTAATGGAACATCTTTTGTAGAGCAAAAGCAGCACAAGTGGATACATGCATTTACATTCGTGCAAAAAGACTAGTACAGGTCGTCCATGCAGGATATGCCAAGATCAATAACCAAGGATGCAAGCATACAAGAAAGCCCCCCACACTTGGAAGCTACCTAAGATTTTGGTACTTCCTTCTAAGTTTCTTTTCAAATAATTCACTAATTTCAACGCATACTGTAGTGCAAACAACAGTGTTAAGCCCTTTGCATTTACTATTGTTAGATTGTACAGTTTTGGATTTTTTGTTTGTAAACTGCCAGCAAGAGAATATCTTAGTAAAAATGGTTTTAATTATTAGATGTAACAGTAATTTGATTAGTTTAATCTATTAAATACTGCTTCTATTCGAAGTTTCTACTTTATATATTAAAATAGATTTGTTTCCAATCCCAATAGAAATACATATATTTAACACATTTGATAATGGTTGGTTTTAGAACAAGAAAATTGTTAAATAAAAAGGCACAATTGACATTGAAGTGTTAATTTTAGTAGAATATAATTAAGATTAATTTAGATTTGCTGAGTATAACAATTAAAAACTTGGGCCAGGTCACTTTTATATGTTATTTAATTTGCTTATCAATAAATTATGTGTTATTATTATACTTAATCATGGAGAGTATGAGTTAAGACTATATTATAATGGACATGCAATTCTTTTTGTACATCTATTTGTTCTTGATTAGGTTAACCAAAGTTTTGTGAGGGTGTTAGCCAAGTTCAAGAAGTTGCTCATTGAGAATTGGTTTGAAGAGTTTGTCAAGGGAATTGGCTCTCAATTTGAAAATCACCTAAAGTTCCCCTGCCTATTATGCAAGTATAGACCTAATTTGCCTATTATGCAACTAGCTAGCCACAGCAAGTATAACCTACACATTCTTCATGTAGCAGCAATGGACACCAACCATGATTCTTGCTTATAAATAGAAGTTTATTTGTTTAAAATAAGCATATTGAATATCTATTACAATTTTTATAGAGAAATCATATAAAATCTCACTAGCATTATCTATAGGGCTGCAAACGAACCGAGCCGAGCCGAGTATGTGAGTGTTCATGTTTGTGTTCATTTAATATCAGCTTGTTCAAGTTTGGTTCATGTTTGTTCGAGCTTTACTGTTTGTGTTCATGTCACAAACGAGCTTTAATCGAACCGAACAACGAGTAGCTCGTCGAACGTTTGGTTCGCTTGCAGCCCTAATTATCTATGAAATCACTTCCTCACTAAAATTTGCCTTTATAGCTTGGTAACACTCACCCTTTTTTGTTTAGAGGTTTTGAACAATTTTTGTATAAATCAATCTTTAAAGAGATTCATTGATTCTTAGTTTCTCTCTCTCTCTCTCTCTCTCTCTCTCTCTCTCTTCACTTTTTTGCAGACTTCATATTTATTAAGTAAAGTCACTGCATGATCTCCATAAGAATCTTCACTATAGGAAAACCAGCTATTTGTAGCACCAAAATCCTCCACAAAATCGGAGAAATCCATCGCAAAACTTGATTTGCGGCATTTTTCGATGGATATGATTCCAACAGTAAAACTTCCGTCACAATATTTTTGCGGCGGATTTGTGACGAAATAATTGAAAATGAAACGACAGTTTTTTTTTTTTTGTTGTGTTCCGCAGCAAATTTTGTCATGAATTGAGTCAGATTTGCAAAGGATAATCCGCTGCAATTGTGACAGATTGTCTCATCAAAAATCTCGATACCATAACAACGTATCAACATTTGCGCCATATTTTCCACCTCAAATATGTAGCATAACAAAAAAAAAAGCTCCTACAAACATTATTTGGGCTTTCCAACATTCACAATCCAAACAGTTATAAAAAATAGTTATGCAAAATAAATATAATCAAATAATGCTATGCAAATTGTGCAAATTAATGAACAAACAACCATATTCAATAAAATTCAACAATAGTTATAACTCTATTACAATTTCAACATAACTTATACATCAAATGACATCAAGTGTATCAAAAGCCATCTTAGGCGACAATCTAATCAAAATATGTATGCTCGTTGTCTTGCTCAGCCGATGGAGGTGCCGGTTGAGTTCCGCTAATCCGCTTGCTTAATTTTTTAAGCTCCTCCAATATCAAAGTGTTAATGTCTACTCAAGTTTTTCGAAGATTTTCTAACTCTGCTGTTAAGTTAGCCACCTGTTGGCTAACTAAACTCTTCTGGTTTCCCACTGAATGGCTAGTGGCAAAAGAGGATTGCCCCTCATATGCGGAGGCTTGTGAGCCTAATTTATAAATATTTGCCCCTTCTACATTCCGCCTACCATCTACATCTAATTGTGATAGTTAGAAATATTTGTTGAACCCGCAGAGGATCTCTCTCCGGGCTACCGGCTAGATCTCTCGAAGCCGTGTATCATCATCCTATGAACAAAACATAATACAAGATTAATCTTCTTATAATCGTCGCTTACAATATTTCTGTAAGTATAATATTTTCATATGGTTACATATGCCCTCATGACTCGCACATCTACCCACTTCTGATCTTGCTGACGCCTATGAGTGTGATGTATAACTCAAATGTCGTAGTTTTTTTACCGCGCATGTCCTTATGCAATATATTTAGATTAGAATGTATATACAAAGAAATTATTAAAATATATTAAAGTTCTTATCAATCATCATTTATGCTTAATGTGTGGAATTGCTGACAATAAAAATTGGCCAACATTTCAGTACTGCTCTCATAGGTCCCCAAGATAGACTCATTAAACCTTAGTCTTGCAAATGATTATATATATATATATCATTTTCATTAATTTAATTAATTATATATAAAGTTGAAATAACTTGTCAAAATACATACTACTTTTTAACTAATCTAAAAATTCAGATTACACTCTCTTTTTCTACTCTAATTGTGATATTGTATTCAGCCCTTTAATGAACTTTCAACAAAAAAATTTGAATTTAGGGTCTTTATGTATGAGTCCATAGAATGTATAGAATTCTAATTGGAGCTTACTCGAGATATAGCAGAACTTCAGCACAACTAAGTAGTGTGTACGTGAAAACTCTCATCTTCTTATCTGTCAAATAACACATATTACAAGTGCTTGTTGCCTCACCACTTCCGATGTATACTGATATGTTACTGGTTGATGAACATATATTTGGATTACCCAAAATTTGAGGTTAAGAGTAGTCCTTGTCGAATCTAACTCTGTGC